TAAAGTTAACGGCTTAAAATGTTTTGTTATGTATAGAAAAAGACTAAAATCGACCGTTAAACTTAACGGCTTAAAATGTTTTGTTATGTATAGAAAAAGACTAAAATCGGCCGTTAAACTTAACGGCTTAAAATGTTTTGTTATGTATATGAAAAGACTAAAATCGGCCGTTAAACTTAACGGCTTAAAATGTTTTGTTATGTATATGAAAAGACTAAAATAGAGTTTTCCGATTTAGCGGAATTCCGGCCGTGTGCGGAATTTATTGTTCTAAGTGAGATGCTAGAACAATGGCAGGTTGAAAAAGGATTAGCTTTTATCTCTAAACAGGATAATAATGCTATACAGCCCCTGTTTGTTTGTGTCGTTTTGCGGTAGTGAAACTAACAGTTTTTCGAACTGCTTTAACTCTGAGCGACTAAATCCCAAGCTATCCRAATGCATCTTTAATGACCAAGTTATAAAATCATCTTATTGCTCATAACTGGTTTGTTGAGTTTTATGTGATTAGTATTAATTCCAAATTGTACGAGAGGTTGTGCGATTTTTTGTTTATAGTACATTCAACTTAATTAAGGAGTACAATTAACGCTGTAATTGTACTCCTCTCGACCAATCAGAATGTATTATTTTGTTGAATGTACTATAAGCTCCTAATTAAAGATTCATATTACCCTCTCTCCTCCATTGAATAATTTGGGCGCTGCCTCCCCCTGTTGCAATACTCCATTTTCAAGTTCAAAGCGGATAACCGCTGTGTTAGTTTTTAGAATTTGTTCACCGAAAGCAGCACGAAAAAAGATATTATTATCCTTGTGGATGACTAACGACGACAAAAGCTTTGAGCGACCGTTTTGAGTCAAAAATTTATACCTAGTGCACACTGTTGGTGTGATCAAGCAGGGACACTTCACGAAATAATGTGTAATATCACAATCGCGTACACGGGAAACGATTAAGAACAAAAGAAACCAGCCCCTTTTTACGAAGCAAGGGTGTTTTACATAATCAGGCCCACCCGATGCTTTTTAAGTTGTGCTATTCTAGTTTACTTGATACAACATTATTTATCTGGACGTCACAGCACCAAGACACCTTTCCAGGACCCAAACAGCAAATATAAGACGTCTATGTAATCTGGACGTAAGAAATCGAACGTTGTTGGTATTTGTTTGGCTGAGACAATATTTAAAACTGCATACTCTTGCTTTTATCTCCGATATTTCAAAAAAGTACAGTTGCAGAGGAAATACTGCGTAACACATTATTTCAATATTATTTTCGAGATACATGCACTATATTACGTGGCATACTCTTCAGAAATGGCAAAGTTTTTTTGGAACTTTTCGCCATTTCCCGAACGTTTTAGGCATGATAGACGGCATCAATCGTCCTCAGTTCTGGTCCTCTTCGAGCACAGTTCTACTGTGGTGACAAGAAATGACATTTCATAACAAGTCGTTGTTGACCCAGAGGGTTTAATTGTAATGCTTATTTCAGGGTGACTTTTATAAAAGAAGTACGACTCAGGATTTTGTATTTTTAAAAGTAGGTATTACCCTACCAACATTAGGAAAAATAGTCTTTGTAAACGTCCGTAGAACTTCGTTAAAATCCTTGTTATTATCCTTGTT